CAAACTTTTGTTGGTCCTCTGGAATTATTCTGCACGGGATCAAGCAAGTGAATTAAGGGATGAGGGCATGCAAAGGGACACAAACGTAACCTCACATCTCATCGCATGGGACATACTGGGCAGACTCGGCACTTCGTCATCTTCAGATGGATTGCTGACCCTCTGCTGCTGTCCACTAAGGAAGGTCGTCGAGTCAACCATCGTATACGAGCCATGGCCCAAGCCGGCGAGCTCGACGGTGGTCTCCTGTTTCACGGCGACGATTCCGCCGCCGCTCAGGGAGCCGCTGCCACCGCCTCCGCTCCCGGCAGTCCCGCTGGCGGCCGCGGCAGAACCGCCGCCACCGCTACTATTACCATTACCGCTACCAGTACCGCCACCACCATTACCACCACCACCACTACCGCCGCCACCGCCTCCTCCTCCGCCACCCCCTGCGCCGTTCCCGGTCGTCGAGGCGGACAGAGACTTCCCTGATGTGCCGAAAAGTCAAAGTTCATGAGGGCTTGAATTGGTCTCGAGGGTTGAATCGTGAATAGGTCTAAATATTTCAGTTCTGAATGAATTCTATAGGGCCTTATCTTACTACGACCTAGACAAACTGGAATGTGTACACGTATGTACACTTTGTGTATATGTGTACTTCTTGTTTCCCTTTCAAAAATATAATGTGTGTGTGTGTGTGTGTGTGTGTGTATTTTTCCAAAAATATCCTCCTTTATGAAAATATAAAAAAAAATACGTGTACTGATCAATTAATCGCTTAGTTTGAGTATTTTAAGTATTCTTAACGATACTTTTTTAATACTTTTTAAAAATAAGTAATTAATTGACCAGTATTAATATTAAATTTCTATAACATCTCCGTTTAAGATTTTTTAATGAGAGAAAAGATTATCGTTCTCAAGAGAAAAATGCATCAAACTTTTTCAAAGGTTAACTGTTTAGTTGAAAAATGTTGGTTATTAAATTCCAATAAGTTCTAAGATAGCTTCAATATTAAATATTTCACTGTAGATTATATTTAAATAATTAAAGAAACAAATGTAATTAAATACTTTTTCTTAATAATTAATCAGACACTTTGTATAAATGAACTATGTATAACTGAATCGAATTGAAAAAGCATCTGTAAAGATTCACATAAATTGGTTTGGTTAAAACTTGAGACAGTCTTTAATTAATAAAAAATAAGTTTACTGCAACATATGCTGCTATTGGCAGATTTTTGTGAAATAAAGAATATGGCATTTAAATATTGTGATAATATTTTCCCTTATTTAAATATATTCTATTCTGCAATAATTCTAAAAATTAAAATAATAATAATTTACATTATACAAATAGTCTAAAATTTTGAACTCGTACTTGAAATAAAATTTTTTGAACTAAATCGTGAAAAAGAAACAAATTTATTATTTAATATTATGCTCAGGTATATGTATAAAACTAACTCCTTGTAAATAATAAACATATGTTTTTTAATAATTATTTTTTTAAAATAATTTTTATAAATTTTGTATATTTTTAAGGCACATTTCTTATCAATTTTTGCAAATTTTTAGAAATGAAATTACAAAAATAAGATTTTTTTTATAACGTCGTAGTGATAGTCTCTTCAAAATTTCTCCTTAAAAGTAATTTTTTTCTGAGAATATGTGTGTGTATATGTGTGTGTGTTTTGCTCAATCATGAATAATAAACATCATCAGTCGATTATACGATGCATCATTGATCTACTTCGCTCCTACGCAAAGTTTCATTACTATGTATTGAATCGAAGTCAGTCTTGATCAACCTTAGTGAAACTATACATTGCAAGCTTCGTTGATTAAATGCAAGTCAACTCGAAAACAAATGTAATCAATTTTGCAACCGGAAATACAAAGTGTAATTCCTAATATATAAGTACTGTACAGGTATATTAATAAATTGTATATCATAAATAAATATGTAATAAGGTAATAGAAGAAAATCTATATAAAAAAATCAATAAAATCAGTAAAGAAAATATTAATAAAGAAAATAATTAATTAATACAAATTAAACATTTTCATTATAATTCAAGTTCAAATTATATTTATAATTTCTCATAATATGTAACTTCTTATACAGTGATCGAGTATTAATAAAGAATTGATATATATTTTCGTTATATAAATCATAATATTTATATCAAACAATATAAAAAAATCTTTGTGTAAATTATTATTGTTTGTACGAATAGGAATAAATTAGAAAGATTGCTTTGGTATAATTTTTTTTTTAAACTAACACGAAAATATTTATAACATAAAAGTGAATAATATTAAAAGGTAATATTTTTCTCAAAACTAATATTTTTTATGATTAATAATTATAAAATTAAATTTAGATAAAAACATATATATACTATGTAAATTATAACAATAATTACAAAGAAAATATTTGTGCCGATATTACAGAAATGATTATCGCGCAATAATTTGTGGTTTTGCCTGAGAAATCATTATTGATGACAAGGACATGAGATGGAAGGAACTCTGGTGACATTAAAGACGCGAACGCAATTAACTCTGGGTTAATGACAGTGCTCCGGAAAGCATTTAGCGTGCCGGTTACGAAGCGAAAACTTAATAGTTGCGCTTAGAAAATTACAATTCTAATTTAGTGAGTACTTATTAAAATGATCTCTTACATAATGCATTCGTACTAATTTTATCTTTTGCATAATCCGATTTTATTGAAAATCGAAATAAATCTATGTTAATAAAAACGTTTATGAAAAATATAAAAAAATTATGTTAAAATTTTATAAAAATTATCTTAATTTTATTATTTCATTGCAATTTTTACCGTTTTATGTCAAATAAAATTTTTAAGTCTATTTGAAATAAATTAAAAAATGCAAAAGATTACAAGTATATATGTCAAGAAAAAGAGAATAACTATATTTACACATATTACTTTATATTTACATATAAACCTAATTTTTAATGAGACTTGTGGATTAAAAACTTATAATTTATTTAAACGTGATATTTTTGTTACTAAAAGATTTGTTTGCACAATGTAAAAAATTGAATTATGCAACGCATTTTATAACTATTGTCACTCATTTTTCTCTCTCTCTCTCTCTCTTTCTTTACGAGTTTTTTGAATAACTTAGAATACATTTTTTCTTAGTGGAAATTTGATTGGACGTTTGTTTTCTTATAACTTTTTACAACTTTCCTCATTAAATATCTTAGTAACTAAGCCCCAATTTAAGATCTTTTTAAAGTAAAATTTAGTTGAAAACAAGTTAAAAAAACAAATTATCGCGTTATTAAATAAAATAATAAAATAAATTAAATAATTTGATAAAATTTTTTAATCTCAAATATATATCTATATTTATTTCGCTATTTATTTGTGGTTGAAAAAATGATGAATTTTCGGAAACTATTTACAAACCTATTTCGAGCTATATACGACTTTGCTTTCTCAATCTCATATCATCTCTTGACGATAAAGGTAAATTAATTTTAAATTTATTATGGGGTTCTCTCTTTCTATCGTTTTCTCTCTGTTTTCTATATTACAACTAATTACATGTCCCAGCAATCAATCAATAATATATATCATGATATGATCTCTTACGCATCGCGCCAGGATTAACGGGTCCATGTGTACCAGGAATTGCGAATGAAGCACTACTTACCAGTAGTGACTACACTGGGAAGTACTCCGGTTGCAGTGACGGCCGAGGGCGTGTCGGGCGCGACGGTATCTGCGACCTGCGTCTGCGTCGGTCTGGGGTCGTAGGTCGTCGTGCTGTCGACGTAGTCGGCGCTAAGCTCATAATTCGTCATCGCCTGGTGATTGTAATTCGTGTAACCGCCAGTGCCGGGACCTGACGATGTGTATTCGCTACCACTGTACGTGTACCTGTCGAGGACAAATGATAGGTCCGCGTGAGTCGTGTCCATTCACGAAAAGCACAAGTTAATCGGAAGAAGTAAGATAAAGATTTTCACGGTGCTTACATTTGACTTCACATTGCGAAATAATATCTGATTACATTAAGCTAACGTGTTTTTGCAGCTACAGATTTCCTACGTAGAGCATTACACAAATAAATTTTATTTAATAAAACACGTATTCTTAAAGAAGTATACAGTGAGTGTAATCAAATTGTTAGAATCTCTAATATAAATTAACGATTTTATATTAAATTATTGTAATTAACTTTTACATGAAAGTATAATAATATTATATTATTATTATTTTTTTATGAAATACTGATGTTTACAAATTTTAAATGTATAAATTACTCTTGACATCATTCTATAGATAGCACTATCTCTCATATATACGCCAAAATATATACGCCAATCTCAAATTAAGAATCATTGAAAATGATGAAAAGGAAAATTTCCAAGGAATCATTAACAAACATCAATTAATCGTGCATTTGATCAAAGCGTATCATAGAAATAAAGCAATAAAAATAATCTGCTTAAAACGTATAAAAAGCCCAAACAAATTGACACGATAATTGTAGCAAAAGGCGGTGTTACTAAATATTAATTTTATTTTCATTTTTACTTTATATAATTACATAAATTAAGATTATCTTTTTAATACATTTTAGTGTACAATTGTCCATTAAAAATCATCATGTGTATAAATCTTAATACTGATTTAATACTAATTTAATATTGATTTTATTTCTATACAAACTAAAAAGAAACCACATTTTTCGAATTATGGTTCTAATAATATGATCATCCATTACAGCAAGCTTAATTGTCCATGTTCTCCTCAATTTCAATATAAAGTTACACTTCTAGTTACACTTACCCGCCATTATAAGGATGATGTTGATCCGAACTGCTCGGCGTCTGATGCTCAAATACACTACTGTCTGGCGCCGTTTCTGAGGCTGCCCTCATTTGCGCCCTATGGAATCTGACCTCATCTTCAACCTTTTCCCGTTGTTTTTTCGACATGCGCCCAAATTTAACGGCTTTAAACAAAATCAAGGATTTCATCAAAATTATAAATTCGGAGCGTTACAAAAATTGAATCAATATTAAAAGTATAATTTATTTATTTAGATAATGTAATTTGAATTCAATATGTAATCATGTTTAGATTGAAACATGATTATAGTGAAAAAATATTTTTAAAAAGCGCTTTGAAAATTCTTTTATTATTTCATATTCCTATATATATAGAATAGAAACAAGGCAAAATTGTTTGCTTGAACAAAATAGCAATAAAATCAGACTTTCATTTATTTGGTCCTTCACTTCGATTAACTTAAATATTGTGAGAGTATCTACAGTACAAAATATAAATTCCAAATATAAACTTCAGGACTTTAAGAATTCTGCAAAATAATGCTCGGTTTAATTCTTTAATGCATTTTGTAGAAACAAACTTATACCATGCATAAATTTCTTATCACAACCTTGTAAATATCGATTCCATCTTACATTTGTTATACAAAGTTATACGGGCGACATAAAAATTTTATTCTGGTTTCTAGCGCGGCTTTCAAATAAGGTAAAATATCTATATATAATGGAATATTGCCAAACGCTTTTTTCGATTATCTCTCTGTCTCTTTCCTCCTCCTCCTCCTCCTCTCTCTCTCTCTCTCTCTTTTTTCTTCATTTTTACGAACTCATTATTGTCAATTACGGACAATTACAGATCAGGAGCGATCATCGACGGGACGATTCGTTGCAAGGCGATGAAATCTAACGGGTGTTCTGCGGATCGATCAAGATCAAGTCGCACGCGACTCCTCCCACCGGTCGATCCCTTCCTCGCCACGAAGAAGGCTCGGCGAGGAACGCGGAAGAGCTTCGCCGCGTTCTCCTCGTCTTCTTCAGCGACGCTATCATCGTCTGGTCGAGACGCACCCACCCGATGACGTCACATGCACGAACTATAGCTCGACCAAACGCATGTACTCTGTCCCGAAAGCGTAACACGTTATTCAAAGTATTTGTAACTTCATGCACATATTTTTGCATATTTTTAGTCTAGAGTCGATTTTTCCTTAATAAAAATTATTTTTTATATTTTTTTCAGAATTAATCGAAAATTAAGTGTTACTCTTCTTTAATTAATTACAAGAAAATTTAGATGATTTTTTAATAAAACACTTCGTTATCAGAATATTTAACCCTCCACCGCGGCAATGTGAAACTTTCAATCTTAGTTTTGAAATGTTGAGGTCCACATCAAATTTATTTCCGGACTATATACAAAATATTTACGTATTTATTGATGAAATTAGCATAAAATTATAAAAATGAGAAAATTGTTAATTTGCTGAAAATATTTACGTGACCTGTAATATAGATCGTTGAGTATACACGCACGTCTTCTATATGTTGAATGGAAATAAACAATTACACACAGGCATATACAACATACACAACATTGCCATTTTTAGTTGGGATACTAAACTCTGCCATATCTATCTATTCTCTTAGAACTTACAATTAAAAAATCAACTGTGCATCAAAAGTCTCACATCGCCGGTGAAGAGGAGAGTAAATATAAAAAGTTACTAAAATAAAAAATATTAAAAATAATAATATTATATATATATATATATATATATATATATATTTATATATATAACATTAGTTTGTATTGATGGAAAAATTTATATGACACTATTGTGTCTAGTCATTGGGAACTGTATTGTGTTTCATGTATCATTTCTAATATATTTTGAGAGCAATTTTAATCTCAATTTTCTCAAGAACTGACATTTTTCAATAGTAAAATTTATAGCAAACTGACATTTTACATTCGCGCGCATTTAGTGTTGCAAAAATATTACTTTGAAGAATTTATTACTTTTTGATTGCTTTGTAGACATTTAGTTTTTGAGTTCAAAATTAAATTTAAAATCACGTGGAACACAAAGTTCAAATTTTAATTAACAAAAAAAATCCTCCATATTCTCTTTTGCTTAACTTTGACAAATACGAAGATTAAATTTTATATAAATTAAAAAAATACAGGGTAAAATTAATCTTAACAGACAAATATTTCGAAAACATTCAATTTTTCCAAAAAAACATTCTAAATAAAAGTTGCATGTTACACCGTCACCATTGTACGCTCTCTCTATAACATATTTTTATTTGGAATATTACTTGGTAAAATTCCATATTTTCGAAATATTTGTCAGTTAAAATAAAATGAATCATTCTGTATATGAATATATCATTTAAAAATAAAATTTTTTAGTGTATAATTTTGTAATTAGAAAATTTTCGTATTATAAGCTCGTTTTTGGCCGGTTTTTACTTTAAAGTTTATATACTTTCAATAATGAATCGGTTATAATTTATTTAGAAAATTTTCTTTTAGACCATTTTTCATTGCGCATTTTTTGGCACGTAAAAAATAAATTAATTTGACAAAACATGTTTCTTATTATTATATCTGATTAAAAAAAGTTATCATAGTTTAAAAATTAAGAAAAACGTTAATTAATCAAAAGCAAAGCATTCGTTTAGATTTTTCTTCACATATTCTAATTAGATTAAAAAGATTTTTCGAACACTGTCTGCGGTAGCAATGTATTGTTGATTTAGTGGTATCCTGTCACTACACGCATATAGTCACGCGCGTAAGTCTCATGAGGGTGGTCGAGGGCTCGAATGACAATAGGGGGCGAGGGGTTGATAAGGGGGATAGCGATGTCAGCGGCTAACCGAATGGCTATCATGTGGAGGCACGGCGAGGAGAAGAGGGAGGAAGCGGAGGGTGATCGACCGAATGCGGATAAAGTATGGACGAGAGAACGAGACGGAAAGAAAAGGAAGGAGATAGAGACGGAGATGGCAACAGGAAGAGTATGCACTAACCGGTAGCTTACGATGCACTTTCTGGCATTCTGTGTGCGCGCGCGCGTGCATGCACGCTCACATGTTGAGTAGAAACGATGTATTTGCAGCTTATCGCGCCGGAGAGTAAATAAAGCGATACTGAATCTGAAATACACGCCGAGACGGTTCCCGTTACTGAATCCTACTTTAATCTTTTCGAGTCCGAGTTCTCATTTTGTTAAAAGAAATCTCTATGTCACGAAGTGCTTTTTAGCATCGTGATAATTAAAATTGATATAATTTGAGTAAATTTCCCGTGCATCTGAATACAATACGTCGTGATAATGAAAGCAATAAAACGTGCATCTAGTAAATATAATATGTTGGAATTAATGTAATTAATTAAATATAACTTATAATTAAATCGTAACTTAATTAATAATTTTATTTATACTTAATTATCATCAAAATATATTTTTCGCATATGTGTCATTATTATTTTAAAAATAAATTTTAAATGCGTATATTTAATATAAGTAAAAATTAAAATTAAAAATTCTAATTTATATTCTTAAATCATTTCAAAATGCAAAAAATTTAATGATAGATTTAATCTCAAGCATTAATTTATTTTAAGCATTGAAAACATTGTAAAATATGTATGTAAAATATATTATAATGAATAACATTTTTACTTGAATTCAATATACATACATTTCTTCGCATGAGAAATGTTATTAAATTTAATTAATTGTCAACAAATATGCAACTGTTATAGATTTTATTTTATGATGAAATTAAGTGTGTAATTTCATTATTGTAATTAGCATTCTTATCGGTAATACATGACTTTTTAATTATACATATAAAAGTTACTTTTTATCGATTTTAGTCTATTCATTGTATCTTCTATGGCAAATAACTTTAATGAACCAGGCTTGAATGTGAATCGCGCGACGTTATTTGTCCGTAACCAGATAAAAAAACCGCGTTTGATAATTGGCCATCAAAAAGCAGGAAGTTGTGGTTGTGCCCGAATATCGCGGCTGAATATCATCCGATCCATATGAAATGGAAAGACATTCCACGTTGTTGACTTGACATTGCACAGTTATTTATTATAAAGCAAAAAAGTATAATACATAATTAAATTAGAGTGATTAGAACATATAATATAAAGTATTAATAATATATTATAATTATAATGTATGTTATATTATACTATATAAATAAAAAAATCTCTTGAGAAAAATTTACTTTAAATAAAGTTAAGGTTTTTAAAAATAATTAAGAGTTTACTTAAAAATTTTTTGAGGTAATTTAAAGTGTGTAAAATATTAATCTAAATATAAGAACTTTAAAGTATTTCAGTGCTGACTTAAAAATAATCTTAGAAAAACTGAGTTTTATTATTTTCATCACATTTCTGGGATTTTTAACATGCTCATAAGTTTGAAAGTAATGCTAAGTCGACATAAAGTTCATTCGCGAACAATACGCGACAGCGCCACTAGATGAATGTGACGGTGCTGCACTTTCTCGTAAATAAGATTCATACAATATGGAATAAAAGGCAGCGTTATGAAATTTTTTATTTATGTTCTTATAAAATAATTTTTTTGATGGCAAGCTATCTTATAAATAAACAGGATTCATCTTGAATTTTAAACAAACTTATAATTTTACAATTATTATTTTAAAGAAAATCTTTAAAATTGATATTTATTCTTAACAATTTTTAAGTATTTTACTTTAATAAACGTTAAGTTTAAAGTTACTATGATTACATAAAGTTTAAAATTTACCTTTCCTATTTCTTAGGTTTTCTTTTAAATTTACAGTAAATTTTAAGATTTTTTAAGTTTTCTAACGTAAATTTTCCCAAGGGATATAACAAATTTTAAAAATATATAATTTTCAAGTAAATAGATATCAACTTTTTAAATAGTATATTAAAAAACAATTCAGGAATAAAAAAGAATATAAAAAATATATAATTTTTTATGTAAATAAATATCGATTCTAAATTAAAAATATATAAATTATTTCAATCATCTTAATTAATAAATTAATTTTTTAAAGATTTGTTTAAATTTTCTAAAAATAAATATAAGATATATAAATATATATATAATATATTTCATAATGTTGAATGTAATCTATGACGTTTCCAAGATCTTTGATCGTTCAATGCTCGATTTAGATTCACGGAAGTAACAATCACAGAACAATAAAAATAGCCGGCGCATAAAAAATTTATGCTGTATTACGATTCCCAGATCAGGTTTATTCGTCGAACGAGTAGAGAAGTTCAATGACGCGAGATCAAAAAACGAAATAAATTTGCTTGATTAATAGTACTATACATTTTGTTTCATAATGTGTTAAAAAAGAAATAACAATGTATCAAAAAATGCTTGAAAATGAGAAAAAATGCTTTCAAAGGTATCTAGAAATAAATATTTCCTGTAAAAATTTTAAATTATACAATTTTGTTAATTACATTATTAAAAAATTCAATTAATGTTACCTATATTTGTGTGTTTACCTATATTGTGCGGAGATACGCTCCATAATAAATTATAACATTCAGAATAACATTCATTTTATTAATTACTCTTTGAAGCTTAATTTCAAGTTCTAAACATTCTAAAGAATATGTAAAGTAATTAGAATTTCTGTCAATCAATTAACATCTAAAACACAATGAGAAATAAAATCCGCTTTTGATGTATGTATCTTTTAGAATATTGTATGTATCTATCACGATAATTGCAACATGTCGTGTATTATTATATTCGTGTACATGGATAAGAATCTGGTTCATCGTCTCCTCTACATGTCGCGTATAATCAATGCATCTTAAATCTCTCCATATAAACATTTATCCACTTGATACACTATTATAATACAATAAATAGTTATTTTGTTCATCAACTTAAGTTGGTTATTATAAAATTTTAGTTTATTGCTTGTTATTATCATAAAAAGAAGAATAAACTAAATGTAGAAAATTATACAATATAATTATATCTTATTTTTAAGATATTTAATTTTCAATAGTTAGCTTTGAATTTGTTTGCCTTCGAATTTTCTATGCAATTCTTGAAATAAATTTAATCCATCTGCCATTATATTCTTACTATTTTGATACCATCCGAATCTTATTGTAAAAGGCAGAGCTTAGTACCAAAAATTTATTTAATATTAAATAACTTACTTTTTAATATAATAAGAAACTGACAAAAAACATCTTGTCATATTTTGAATAAAAACTCAATTAGAAGTAACTTATAATTATTTTTAAAATAAACCGTTCATATAATTTTTAATTTCATGCTAATATCAATTTTAATTTGTTTTAAGTATATTCTTTTTCAATGATTATTTATTGTAAAAAAATGGCAATTTTTAGTTATAAAGAATTCAGATGAATCTCATATGAATAAAAAATTAACTGTTCTCTCTGCACAGAATATATAATTAATATAAAATTCTACGAGCAAAAATATATAATAAAATTATCATACAATTTTATATATGTCTTATATAAAAATGTATAGAGAAAAAGGTGATATTATATGATCCTTATATTTGTCATAGTGTTGTTTAATTTTTAAATTCTAAACTAACTCAATATGAAATATGACTCAATATGAAATATTTATTACCTAGAACATTATTTATAGAAATGTAGCAACATTGCATAATATCTCAAAGAGGAATGGGAGTGGAAATGTGGCCTTCTACAAAAATAGATTCAAAAAATTGGTTTTGGTTAAAAAAAAACATAGTATTTACAAAATTAACAATAAAGTAAAATATTGCAAAATGTATGCAAATATATATACGTAAACGTAACTTCTTTCGCATTTAGGCTCTTATAGTACATATATATAACATAAATTATAGATTAATAGTAAAACTATAATCAATTTATCAAATAATTATCTTGATATGAAAATCTCGAAAAAGGGAGAGGATATCAGCAATCAACATGCTTAGGAGGCCATATTAGCCAAATGTCATGCTATCGTTTAACTTTGTTAACTCGAAATGTACATATACAGCTAAAGTTAAATAACAAACAACACTTACATATACATATATTCGTGTGATACGTTCGAGTTTAAGAAGAATGAGAAATAATGTGTAATTAAATGTTAAAGTATACTTAAAAAATGTTTCTAAATGCATGAAAAATGGGCTATAATAAATGCTGGTTATTATATATTGACATATTATAGCATTAGCATTAGCGTCTTGGTGTAACGGCGAGCTATTGAACAAATAACTCCATAAATAATCACTAATTTGCCACCTAATAGCGGAGATATTAAGAGCGGCCATTATACCTACACTAGCCATAATACTATGTACTCCTCTAATTATAATTATATAAAAATAATAAAATACTGTAATTATTATGAGTTATGCCATTCACTCTTATCGGTATCTGTTTAAATTTTAAAAAAAGCTCTTCGGTGACATAAAAGAATCAACAATACGAGAGATTTCATTTGGATCTAGGACTATCATCTCGATCATTATGTTTTTGACCGGCTTTATCCCGATAGGCTTTATTCGTTCACCCACGAGGTATCTTCTCATTTCGTCTTGACGGCCTTGTCTATTAATATCGCAACCGTCTTCGAGAATAGGCTTCGGACAGCGGCGGTTTAACGCACTGAAGACAGTTCGTGACTCGCCCCGATAAAGTGCAACGATGACTCGTCGTAGGAGGAGGAGAGACGGATTTTGATAAGGGGTCGTGCACCCCGAGTTGGCACGCGTAGCGTCTTGCTGCAATCGGTATGCATATAGTTGCCTTCGTCAACCGCTGACGTTTCTTCATTTTTCGTGCGAAACAATCGATTTCGCATCATGCGTAGTACATTACGCAATTTATTAAGAACTCATAGCTTCCTTATATACTCATTATTTAATTTGTCTGTAATTTAAAAGCTAGAAGATAATATAACATTATTATTTAATTCTAAGCTAATTATAATTAATTGTTCTGTTTTTCGAAATTTTCGAAAGAATTTAAGAATTACATTCTGATCGTTCCTTATTTCTTGAATAAATAATATTTTTGTATCAAACAAAAAATAATTATGCCAGATGAATGCATTTTAAAGATTTCTACATTTTTCTGCGTTGTATCATATTCGTTTATACTGCATTATTATCTACATCGAATAAATATCGGGTATCGGTACTGTTCAAGCATGTCAACATCGCGTCCCCGCGTTATAGTCCTTCAAACAAAGAAGCTTTTAAAGAGTTTGTATGACGCGCTGAGCTATCCGCTATTTCCTGTGTAGAACTATATCGTGCAAAACTTGTTTGAATAGACCACAAGAGTGTGAAATGATATTGTGTATTCTATGCATACTATTTAAAAACTACTATTTTTAAATTTAATTAAGTTTCTTGGCTACCAAATTATAATGATACGTTTTTTATACACTGAAAAAAATTTTAATAGATCTATTTTTTTTTTTAATTAGATCTATTTGAACAGTAATATTTCTTTGCTACAGAAACCATCATTTTAATTTAAGTATCATCATTTCATAAAATAAATATTCATTTATTATAAGTAAATGTTTAGTTAATACTATTATAATATTCAAACAAATATTTATTAAAATTTAGTAAATTTTTTTCAGTATATACACACACACACACACACACACACACACACACACGCACACGCACATGTATATATATATATATATTAATTCTTAGTATACACACAATGTGTGTATACTAATAATGTGTGACCGTTTGTGTCCCAAGTTAATTTTCATCATTATTTACAAGTATATAAAAATTATTAAATTATTTCTATACATACTTTAACATCTTCAAAAACTGTTTGTACTAGTAAAATTGTGTATTTAAAAAAAAAAGTAAAGAATAGAGACCATTATCTCGTGCCAAGTGCACTTAATATTTCAAAGGAAAGAAATGCACAGGAAACAAATGACTCAATCGCGTATATTAAAAGTTTACACAACCCACACACGCATATATATAAATTCTTTTATAAACGAAGAGATATGACAAGATTCATAATCTTGCCATATATGTGTCTAATCAAGCCATGGTGCAAAAGTAATTCTTCCTATATAAAATTTGAAAATGTTAAATGTGAATCGTATACTTTTCTAACACGAGAATAATGTGCGAGGAGAAGATATAAAACTTTACATCTTTCCATTTCGAGAATCCCACCAAGTGACAAGAACGATTCGTCTCTCTGAAAGAAGGTGACGAAAGGTTGGAGCAGTTGAAAGTACTCACCATCTCTTGACATGCCGAGGCGTAGGCACTTTTGCAACCGACAGTACTGGCACCGGTTTCTGTTTACACGGTCGACCACACAATTCTTGTTCCGCGGACATTGATAGTTGACGACCGACGACTGCGACCGCCTGAAGAAGCCCTTGCAGCCCTCGCAGGTGATCACACCGTAATGTACACCGCTGCTCTTGTCCCCGCATACCTTGCATGGGATTATCTCGATCTGAGCTGTAACCATAAAAGAAACGAGCAACTCAATTATGAGCTCAAATCAAAATGTTTTGCAAAATTTTCCCTTGCTTCATAATTCTTTTTATTTCATAGTATAGATAATACTATATCAAACTTCAAGATTCATTCATATACATCTAGCAAAATACTAACGGATTTTCTTTTTTCTGCCATCTTTATTATAATTCATTCTTCACTTCTTTGAAGATTTCCATTAAATTATTAAAAAATTGAATTCTCTGTGTGTGTAACGACATATTATGATTTATTCATCAAGAATATATTACAAAATACATTCTTACCGTACTTATAAAATAAAAAGTAAACTTATAAGTAATATAATAGAATTCTCTAAATTATATATGTAGTTCTAAAATTCAAATCGATGTATAATCGCAATAAATATATTAATTTTGAGCCGCGCATATAATCGTTTTATTCTTTATTCTTTATTAAAGTGTTATATCCATTGTGTTAATTGCGAATCGAGATTTGGAAGTAATCGAAATTATTTTAAGAAGTTTTAATATATTTACAATCCAACTGTAAATATGTTACCTAGTTGATTTCTTTAAATCTACCTCGTATCGAATTGGCATGCAGTCTACGATCATCGAGGATCGCGCTGCCAGCATCGGAGAGAGGCTGCGCGGATCTCTCTCTCGATCTCGATCTTTCCGTCGGCTGAGGACTCGTACTGTCCGCACCCCACGTAGGCCCGCCAAATCCTGACAGACTTCCCTCCATTTACAGATATTTCTTGCTGGTTTCATTTACGATCTATCGTGAAGACAATACCGGCTCGATTCTGAAGATCCACATGTATGATTACGATCGAAATCAGTTGTCCGTGGACTGGACGTCCTTAATTAGTCTTTAATTGAGTCTTTGTCTTAAATTCACACTATTCATTTTCACGATATACTTTATGTGGAGTATTAGATAAAAATACATAGCCACTCTTAAAATACGTTCGTTGAATTGTTCTTTAAGCAAGTAATAATATTTAAAAAATTAATACAAAGCGATGTAAAATATTTTGAAGACTAAGTTTATTATTATTGGATGTTTTGATTTTGAATTGTATTGAAAAACAAAACTAGCGTAAATTATTTTCTTACATACTTTAAAGTTCTTACTTTAAAGTAAGAACAATATTACGAAAGAAATAATTGAAGAAATTTTAAATTAAAAAAACTTAAGGAAAACTTATGAAATTCTGTTTTGGCAAAAACAGAACTGAGTTGTTTGTTAAACAAGTTTGTGAGTCTCAAAATCTATCATTTTTTTATCTGCTAGGGTTAGATCAAATTCCTCTTTTCTTATCGACGCTGACAAAGATAAAGGCATTCAAACATACATTGTGTAATCAATCAAATTGTGCAATTTAATTCGATTTTCAGTAATCACTGGTATAAACTGTATGACATATATTTATATTAAATTCACAAGATAAAAATCATCTTTTAGAGTTAGTAATTATTGAAAATTGTAAGTTCGTAAAGTTTTAGTCTCAATTTATTAAAGAATGGACTCGTAGATTTTATTACTCTATATTATTAATAAAAAACGTACTCAGGCATTGAAACAAAGAGATATAAGAACTTTTCACTCGCGCGATTCTTCAGAATTATTCTTTTAACTTTCCGAAAAAATGAATCGGTTATTTCAAAAAAATTTGGGAACTCTCAACGGCAGGGCTTGTTAGCGGCCAGAAAAAAATTCAGTGTGATGAAAAAAACAGTTTCGTAAAGCGAGGAAAAAGGGTGGGCGGAGTGTCGTGATTATTCGCACGTGCGCGTGTGCGTGCACGGAAACGAGGATTCGGTGCGTGGCCGGTCCCCAGTCTGGATATATATCGCCCGAATACGCTTCTCCCGTCCGGCAACTCTAGCGCCACGAGCAGAACATCGAGGCGCTTGCACCATACATACGCGGCCGAACATTACATAACCGAGAACGATGAACCCAGAGTACAGTCACCCGGCACGCTCGCATCTTCGACGTGCGTCATGCGGAGAGCGCAGCGTGCAACGGCAACGGTGGACAGGCATTATACCCGGAACTCCCGAAATCGAAATAGTCGCCTTCCTCTTATGCCACGTCGATGTATTGTTGTAGTTCACAATGTAGTTCTTTGTTATTGGTATATGAAAAGTCACCAGTTGTACAATACAGCTAAAATAATATATGAGAATAATTTTAATATTTATTACGTCTAACAAAATAAAGTGTGTTCTTAGTAAAATGATTGTTATAAAGTAATTATCCGCGAATTTTCCTAAAAGAATTTTTTATATTGTCTTTCGAATTATTTTGCATCATTATTTCGCTTCATTATTTTTGGTTTGCTTCGTTAATTTCTTTTTTCACAATGACTAAAATAGCTTATGTCGGCAAATGTTTTCTCTTACTTTGTATGAGAGTTTTGTGAACGCATTTTTGTTCGATTTATCTTTTATCGGAGCAATTTCGATGTAGCGTTTTTTTTTTCTATAGAGAATAATATCTTATACCAAATTTGTTAATATATAGCTGTGCAATAATCACAAAGCACTGGCATTGCCTTTTTCTTTTGATTTATATATAGAGTATATATAGATATATAGATTATTCCTATTAATATTTAATGCAACGTAATCAAGCAAAAATAATGTATATACATACACATGTATATATAAAATATATAGTATAATATTGTTCATATCGTTGCCATTATATATCGTTAACCTATTTTTTTATTTTAATATTCCTCATTATTATAATTACTTCATTTTGCTCATAATAAGCTTTAGCCAGACTGAGATAAAAAGAGGCAATAGTGCTTCGTATAAAGTCTCTTTGTAAGTTAAGTTATATATCTATGGAAATTTTTCCATGGAAATTGTTGTAATATAACTTTACTGGAATAAGCAGACGTTTTAGCAAACAGACTGGAACATATTTTTCAAGTAACATTTTGAACAAATTACGACAATCAATCTAAGAGCAAGCAAACAAAAAAAAGCTCGATAAATTTTCTTTAAGAAAAGTGAGAAATTCAGAAGTAAGAATTTGTGCGTTTTACTCTACATTAATCGACGTAATATAAAGTGTCATAGAATTATGCGCATAGGATTCGTAAATATTGTTAAATATCTACTTCCCATCGTGAAGTGAAATGTTATCTTATTTTCTTCAAGCTCTTATCCGCACACACAATCTGAACGAGCAATTTTGTCCACCGTGTAGTCGCGCGACTACACGAATAGCGCGCAAATCGCGAACCGCGCGCAAGCGCGACAGAGAAGTATATGAGATCGCGCGTGTACGCGCAACACGCGCTCTTCTTCGCGATTTTCCACCTGGAGACTTTCCAGCCGCGCAATTCGATCGCACTACGCGTTTTCGTTGCATACGTTTATCACACAAGTACACACAGGACAGACGATATACCACTCGCGCGAATCCACGGGACAATTTTCGCGCGACGAGCAGAAACGGAAGACGGTGCTCGCGTTGATGGAAAGCGAAGAAAGATGGTCTTCGCGAATTGATTCACGTCAATAAGACGATTCACTCAGACTGACGCGGTGGACTTCCGTTCAACGCTTGCGTGCTCCAAACGAGGAAATCTTTCCGGAGGTTGTTTCGAAGAAACTAGTGCAACGATAAAGAACGTAGCAGGATAAAAAGAGAGAAAGCGACGAGAAACATGAGGAAAGGTCTGCGTAATGTTAATACTACGCGTCGCGCAGTTGGCGTGGGAGCACTCGCGGCTACACTCTTCAGATTTCTTTGGTTGTGATCGAGAATTTCGGGAAGCATCCGGAGCGTATATGACCGCGAGCGAAGAACGAGTATACACGCGGTGCGACATACTTCTCTCTCTCTCTCTCTCTCTCTCTCTCTCTCTCTCACGAGGAGAACACCGACCTCATCGCTTGCGCGCGCGGCCGGAAAAACTTGCGGAAAGTTCACGACTGGCGGTATGAATATTTTGGGGATTTTGACGAGCCAAGGCGGCGGCAACGTGTCGGACGAAGAAGGAAAGAGAGAGAGAGAGAGAAAGTGAGAGAGAGACGTACTCTCCACGCGCGTCTCAGAAATAAGAGAAAGACGGAGAAAATGTCAGTGAGATAAACGAAGATAAACTGAGAGGTAAAGGAAGGAGTGAAAGGAGGCAACGATAGAAAGAGGGAGAGCGAGACGGAACGAGGTGTTTTTCGAGGACCGGCGTTAGCGGGCTGGCATCTCACAATATGTCAGAACTCCCCGCGCCCCCCTTCATCGCGCGACGATGCGGCGGGTCACTGAACTGCGCGCCTCCACTGATGATGGCCGAGTGCCTCACCCTTTGCTCCCTCCACCCCCTTACCGCACCGACAGCGCCACTGCCCCCACCGCCCCCGCGCCCGCGCGTGTCGGAGATTCGCGAGTGTAGGCGAACGTTGCCGGTGACGGTCGACCGTCATCGGAAACGACCGAGAGCCGCGCCGGCTGGATTACGAGCGCATAGCGCGCGCTTTCCGATCTCGACTCGTGCGACGCGTTTGCTTTATTAGTGCGCCTTGTTAAGGTCACTGGCGTGCTACCTAAATGCATGAGTGTATCGTGTTTCCTACATAGGAAACGTGGCTCGCGTAATTTGGGGATTTGGGGATTTCATGGCGGGGATAGAATTCCCGGTTTTCTTTTTTTTTTTGTTTTTAAAGAAAAATTTGCTAATAAAAGTAGATGAAAAGATAAAAATAAATTTTTTTTTTAATTTTCTAAATTAATTTTTTCTTAAGAATGCATATTTTTTAACAAGATAAAAAAATTATAAAGACATAGATTTTTCTATATTGTATTTGTAAAAATAATATAAGAAGTTTGGCGATGATTTAGAACCTGGATAAAAAAAATTATTTCGATAAATAATGTTTTTAAAAAAATCATTAAGATAAAATGAGAAAAAATTTTATATATAAATTATAAAATGCTATTATTAAATATATAAGTATTGCCTTTTTATT